TTTTTAGAAAAATCATAAATTATTCACGATTTTTTTATCATCATCCAACTGTACTACAGATACCTCACTACTACAATTTACAACAAGTGATAGCTGATATAATAATTAAACGCTTTCTAAGTCTTTTTATGTGCCATATTGAATATCGTTTGTACTTCTTTCCTTAGTTGGGCGCCATGTAACAGGAAGGGTTCTAATAGCAGAGATGGGCAAATGGGCTAATCTGCCGTAGAGTACCGAGTACCAAATATTTTACTCAAATTGAATCACTATTTTGAATTCCGTCACTACTACAATTAATCGTTTGACATCAACTGAAGTCGTAATTAAATTCTTTGCTACTCTAAAAAAGTTAGTTCTTGAGTAAAATAATTGATACTCAGTACTCAGAGTATCATTTGTCCACCTCTGTCGAAGAGAAGTATTTATGCGAAATAAATTTATGAAGCAACTACAATATATTAGTGATATGAACACGATTAACTTATTTTCCATATATAATTATTATTAAAACTGTTCCATTGTTACAAAAATGTTTTTGACCATGAAATACGAAAGCATTCCAAACCAGTGAGGTTTTGGGATTGGACAGCTGGGATACCATTTACACGCAAGGATTATTGTAACAAATCTCAAGGATGCCAAAAGCAAACAAGAAGATGCAGCTGTCGCGTTTTCGGGCGTGATGGGAGCATTCGACGAAATTGGTCATAGTCATATCTTAAAGTCCTTGGAAGCTAAAGGTATTTCGTCCAACCTAAGAAAGGCAATAGAAACGGTGCTATGTACTAACATCATTTGGGTCCATATCAGGGTCAAAAAGACCGGACATACAGAACTTTGGGATTCGAAAGATGCAGCAGAATATAGTTATAAATTAGATCATGGCCACGGCCCGGTTCTACTTACAGATATCACAAATGAGCAAGCGGTGACCTCTCGCAAGCTGCTTAGAGACAATTACCGAATTCGGAGAATACTCTGCGAGTTGGGATTATCTATTAATCCCCAAAAAAGTTCTAGCACTGTATTGAAGAAGGGAAGATTATTAAGGTCAAGTTTCTGCTTGGATGCCGGGGAGGAAATATGTTCAATTGAAGAAGGTGTCACCAACAAATACCTTGGATGAACTTGAATTTGATGATAAATCTGAGAGTATGATGAGTCAAAATATGAAAAATCTCGGATATCTATCCACTACAGACAGAGCCAATGACAAAACGTTCCCCATTGTTATTGGAATCTGCAGATGTTTCGTGAATACGCACTCCCAAGCTACCTAGGTTGCAAAAACACAGATAACCTCTTCAGAACTTTAGATCGGTCCATTTGGCAGCTTGATACACGGAAGGAAAGACATCAGAGACAGAGCTCTGGGCTGTATGTATAAAATTGCCTTATACCATTAGATAGGGTGTGTTTTCATTTTTTTACATTATATATGCCTCCCTCTTGTCTCAGAAACGATCCTTTCGTCGTCTAAAATTATAACGACCACTCTGAATTAGACTGACCTGAGAGTTTTCCTCGGCTGCAAGATGGACTTCGGGTAGTTTATTCATTTTAACAGCCCAAGGAACCTGTTCACTAGCGTGAGCCTTGAAAATATCTTCTTGGAAAGCCTGCTGTAGAGGCCTTAGTCTCTACCAAAATTCAATAAGGCGGGACTTTGTTGAGTTTTGAATGGAAGAATTTAAAGCAAACTGGATCTCCCTTAATTGCTCATACCAGTGTTGGTGTTTCTTCCTTCAGTACGTGACAATTGCTTGATGTTGCGATTTTCCCGTTCCGTGGAATTAGCCTACTAAACCTAGCAACAATTTTATTTATCCCTAGGTAGCCCAACTGTGAAAGATCATGGTTATCATATATTATACGTCCCCGTAGATATCGAGGAACGACGACATTTCATTCTTCACTAGGGTACTCTAGCTCTCCCTTCAAGGTTCTTTCGCTGGTATAGTAACTGTCCGTCCTTTACCAACCATCCAGGGTGATATTCTGGGAACCTTCGGATTCGGTAAAGTTTCTGATCATACTATTCGTCAGATGGTGCGGATGCTCCTGAAGAAATGCAATCGGTAGACAAACTCGAATCGACTGGTAGATAAGACTATGGTTGCGGTAATTCCCGATAAGGCATCGGCCATTGTATTGAGTTTACCCTTACGGTATTCCAACTAGTAATCGTACGGTTTCAAACGAAAAGCTGAACTTGCCAAACTTCCCAAAGGGGTTTTCAAATTCAGTAATCACTTAAGACAGGCGTGATGAGTAATAACCGTAAACAAATAACTCTCTAAGGAGTGCAGATTTACCAAACAAAACTGCGAGGCATTCCTTTTCGGTCACAGCATAATTTCTTTCAGCCGGACTTAGAGCACGAGAAAAAAGCGATAACTATTTCTTCGCCATCTTGTATTTGATTACCTTCACGAGCTCGGTCTGTCTGATCTGGCGATTAAGGTTAGAATTGGGTATGGTTACAGAGGAAGAAGAAATATTTCCTTTTATCCAGATTTGAGAGACGGTAATACTATTATGCAAATTGTGTTTGTAATAATCTAGAATTATCACAATCTAACAGGAGGCATTGGGAGTTAGCCTGGAAAGTCAATGAAGTATTAGTCAAGAAAGCATATTCAGGAATGTTTGTCGGTACAAGTTTGGAAATGACAGGTACAATAGTAATTTTGTAAATTAAGGTTGGTAAAGAGAAAAAATTAAGTGAAGTGTAATTTTTAACAAACTACCAAATAAAATAATATACTGTTTAAACTGGCACACGTAAGATATAAAACAACAATAAAAACTAAAATCGAAAATAAAAATAATTATCATTTATGTTTTTAGGTGAAAATATGTATATAATTGAAAATATATACTGTAATATACTTTTTTTTTAATAAACGATTCAACTTTTTCTTCAGTATCATAAACTGACACTTCTTACAATAGAAGGAATTCTACAAAATCGCAATGTATCTCATGTAATGTTACAAACATGTCAGGTAGGTACTCATGTAGAAGATTTTTAATTTTTTTTTTTTTTCTTTTAAATTTCTTTATTGATTATTATAACAATCTGTCTGTTGGACATTGGTTATAGTGAGGTAGGATGACATTCACACCATATGTACAAAAAAATAAAAAAAAATAAAATAAAAAAATTAATTAATATTTAGTAAACAAATATGTTTTTTAAAAAAAAAAACAAGTATCACTGAAAATATGTCAATAATTTATATTATATTTTCTAGAAAAAAAAATTAAACATAACGTATTTATATTAATAATTCAATCATGTTTTTTAATTATTGAACAGTTACCAATCAATAAGATATGATTTCTGTGAAAAAGCTATATTTAATATAAAAGTTCATCACTGTAGAAAATTTATGTAATCAAATGATGTTAGCGTTCAATATAAATTTTAATACGCTTTTTCAACATATTTAATATATATATATTTAAACTTTCTATGTTGGGAATTATAACATTGTGTCTCAATTAAGGATAATTATAATAGCACACTAATACTATATTACTATACTATATGTTAAAATAGATAATACATATTTTTGAATTTCATGACTAATATTCGGAATAATACCGACATCATTTATTAATAATTAAATATAAAGTAGATTAATCATAGTTTTAAATAGCGGAAAAATGCTGTAATATACACATCATAACTATACATACATGACAGCTTTTTATTGTAAATAAGAAGAGGACATTTATGACTTGGTAGTCATCTCTTAGAGCTTGGAGAAAATACAATATACTTATGTACAATAAAGAGGAGAGAATAGATAGAGCATCTACATATTCCCGTAGATAATAACTTTATCAAATTAAAACAGATTGTATGCTATTCATAAAAATAAAATAAAAGCAGTCGAATTCAAATAAAATAAGAGAAACAAAATTTTCACGATTACCCTTACTATATATTACATATATAAGTAAGTGAAAGTAAAAAAAATATTCAAGAAATCTATTGCTGGTTATTAACTACACGGTGTAAGAAACTGAAATAAGTAATAATCCAGTTAACGATTTAAGTGAAAATTCAACTCCAAATATTGAAATTATTCATAAATATAAAGAAAATTAATGTTTCATTACAATTATTGAACTAATACCTGTATAACGTGAATTTTAGTTTTGTATCACAATTACAAAAATCCTGTCATACAAATTAATTATTAATGTTAAAATTAATTTTTTTATTTGAAATTTATAAAGATGAATATGGTGCTAGACACTGAAACCTTTTCGAATTTTTATATGTAAAATAAAATATATCAAATAAGAGACTGTCAAATGGTATACATCCTGAACATTTATCCTCCAGAATTTTAATAAGGTAATTAATATTTTATTAATTTTATTGAACTAATGTCTGTATAACCTGGGAAATCTAATCAAACTTACCTGGATATCTTATTATGACCTGAGAAATTTAATCCCTATCAAATCAAGGCCCTACCGACCAGATATCTTCTGTAATCAATGCTTTATTAATCCTTTCCATGTTATTATTTTAAAAATATTCCTCTTATTAATTTTTAATTGTTAATTTACCCACGGAATTAACGTAATTAAGTTTTAAGAACGAGGAGATAGTCAAAGATTAATTTTCGCTATCGGTAGTCATGATAAAATATGAGCGCGAAATAACTAATACTAAATGTGTCTGTAGACAAATTATAATTTTATTTTTACTGACAAGTTGGAAAGTTTCAAAATGTGTCATAATATGATCAGACCGATATGTTATTCAATATACTTTTAATATCATTGTACGTGAAACTAAATTTATTGATATTGTGATACATGAAAAATAAGTTGAAACAAAATTAAAGGTAAGAGTCAAAAATAAGAAACTTTCCACTGTGCTCAAATATGAGTCGGATATTATTGTTGAAGCAGAGGTGTTTGGACCGGTTGGTGAAGTGCGTGGGTTAGTGCGTAGGTAGGAAGGTTCTTACCTAGAGTTTGTGTAGCGACCAACCGTCCATCCCGGGTACTGCCACACAACTGAATCCTTACATCATCCCCACCTCCCCCCTGTATCCCTCTCTCCCTCCTTTTCACTTAAAATTGTCCAAACAACGGCTAATTATAACAACATATCAAAAAGTCGGCAAAATATCGACAGAAGCAACAATAAATAGTTTGAGAAAACTATCGATAATTTGGTGGTGTAGTACAGAGCTCTCTCAAACATTTTGGCCTGTGGGTCACATTGAGACCTCCACTAAGTCATAGCCCTGGAGCAAGGGCCCAAAAATCGACCTAATCGCAGGCGAAAGTTTGATTGTAAATTACGGAAGTGTATGTTATTCTGATTAAAAAAGACCTTGTCTGCCGTTCCAGAGCCGCTGCTTTAAAAAATGGCGGCTGATTTAAATAATATTAGGTCAATAATTTGAGGATCGAAACGGGAAATCCATTGCGAAAAATATGAGAAAAGTTTTTATTTGTTTTACTTTTACATATGGTTTTAGACATGTAAAAAACAAAATTGCTAAAGCGGGCCACCAAGGGTAAACTTTTTACAGCCAAAAGTCAGATTTTTTCGATATTTTTTGGGTTTTTCACCTATAACTCCTAAACAATGTATCAAAGCGAAAAATGTATTCCTTAATAAATTAAAGAACGTTATATTGTGCGTCAAACGAGTACCTAAACTTTAAAAATTTGGTTACGCGGTAAGGTATAAAACCACGGCCAACCAACGCTGAGTTTTACCAAATTTGCCAAAAACTGAGACAAATTACTATAAATGGCCCTGTAACATGGAAATGAGTCCCCTAAGAGAAAAAACCCATAGAATCAAAGTTGTAGAGCATCAAATTTTACATATAGTGAGTACTGAAATTTTTATTGTTGACCAATTATATATCTCGAATCGGGATTCGTTATTCCTTTATAAAATTCGCTATCTTTCGACACATCGTTTACCAAAATCTTTTGCTCTTGGGAGGTGGAAAAGAGGCTTATACTGCATATAAGAGACTTTAAACAAAACTAACTCAGTAGAATTGACACCCATACTGTTGAAATATTGAAAATCACGTTTTCCTTCATTACCAATTTCTAACCATCGGGAGATTACCGAGTTTGTTCGCAGCAAGTGAGCTACATTAAATTAGTTGATACTGAGTATAAGCAAAATTTGATGCTCTATAACTTTGATTCTATGGATTTTTCCTCTTAGGAAACTCATTTCCAAGTTAGAGGGCCATTTATATTAATTTGTCTCAGTTTTTGGCAAATATGGTAAAACTCAGCGTTGGTTGGCCGTGGTTTTATACCTTACCGCGTAACCAAATCTTTAAGTTTATTTACTCGCTTGACGCATAATATAACCTTCTTTAATTTATTTAGGAATACATTTTTCGCTCTAATGCATCGTTTAAGAGTTATAGATGAAAAACCCGAAAAATATCGAAAAAATCTGACTTTTTTGGCTGTAAAAATTTCTCCCTTGGTGGCCTGCGTTAGTAATCTTGTTTTTTACATGTCAAAACCCATATATACAAATTGAAAAAATAAAAACTTTTCACATATTTTTCGCAATGGATTTCTTGTTTTGATCCTCTAATTATTGGCCTAATATTCTTTAAATCAGCCGCCATTTTTTAAAGCAGCGGCTCTGGAACGGCAGACAAGGTTTTTTTTTACTCAAAATAACATACACTTCCGTAATTTACAATCAAACCTTCGCCTGCGATCAGGTCGATTTTTGGGCCCTGGCTCCAGGGCTATCACGCTTTGTGAAGAAAAAGAAGAGCTCGATAAATGACACCGGTTGTGATATAAGGTTTCTAGGAGAAACAACTCATGCCAGATTCGGCCCGCTGGCCCCAGTTTTGAGACACTTGATGTAGACAAAATGGCTAAGGACAACAAAAACCTTGGTTCCTTATGTTTACATTAGAAAATTAACATAAATTATCTATTCTATAATTAACATCAAGTATTTTCATAGAAACAAATAAATAAATAAATATGGTGGACTTTCTGGTGGACTTGAGATCAGATTAAAGAGGCTAATGAATTGTTTCTAGGAGTCGCCAGGCGCTCCCACGTCTCCAGTTGCTATGCCGAGTTGAAGTGGCTCTATCCAGTTTTCTGACGGCAATATTTCCTAGGTGTATTCCTTTTCCGAACCTTTACAACTAAAAAACCTTCTTACCTTCTTGATTTCTTTACTCCTTGTTCCTCTGTTCATTCGTTCAACACGAGATCCCAATCCTCAAATTTGTTTATTCCTTCTCATAGAACTGTTTCCTTTAAAAAATCCTTCGTCATAAGTGCTACCTCGTTTTGCAATTCCCTACCAACCTCTTTACGGAAATCCTCATCCTTGACCTCATTTAAGCATAATTTACTTTTCCACCTCCTCAGTAATCAATCTTCTGAATATATGTAAAATAAAGTTATTTTGTACTTTAGAGATGTCAGTTACACCATACCGATATCTTGCAGATATCTATGTATGTGTCATATTGCTTATTTGTACAAATACGTGAAGTAACCTGTATGTAATCATCTTTAAATTCATATTTATAATTCAAGATCATATGTTTACTACAGTGTCTTTTTTTTTTAATATTAAGAATTTTTATTATTATGAAAAAATTACATGCTTCTTTATTTTAACATTAAGATTGGACACCTTTTTGTAAATTAATTTATTTTTAATTGTCATTTAATTATTCACAATCACCAGACAATTGTCAATTCTCTGTTAATTGTAGTTATTCTGAGTGGACTTAATGTCCCAGAAAAAAATTTACTTTCTTTCTTTCCTTTCTTTAATAAATTTAATAATAAGAAATATATTTGGTATATGTTAGCTAAAGTCAGAGCTCATGATTTAAAATGATACTTCTGTGTACTTAATATTTTATTTTAATTACCCTACCTATTCTGTTAAGCATTAAAGGGTTGTTTTAAATGAAAAAGTCCGATTTTCAAGTTTAATAGCATAATTTATTCAAAAAGACCCTGGGAGTGATTTAAAATCATATGAGCACAAAATACTAAAAAATATTTTATTATATGTTAAGTGTTTGCACGACCTTTTGTTGGTTTCATGTCATAACATGTAGAATATTAAATGCAAATATTTAAACAACAAAAAACTTAATTTAATTTAGAGAACCCGACTACGAAAATAACATCCTGTAACCATAGTATACAGAATAACGTTTGTTCTATACTGTACTGTTAATTAACATTTCTTTATTATTACTAGGCATTTATAAATTAACATTTATTCCTGAGTGGCCAACCACCATCCGGAGATGCAAATTTAGCGGGACAAAAGTCCAAAAATGAAGAATGAATTTATGACATAAAGTGTGTTAATACCATTACCTAAGATGTTAGTAAGAAAATGTATAAATTTTCCAAAGTTAATATCAATAAGGCACTTTGAAAAATATCTTGAATTACTAAATTCAACAGCAAAATACTAAAACTGAAAGTAAATTTATATAAACGAAAAGAAACTAAACTAAACAAAAGGAAACTAAACGAATTAAAAAAATGACTTAAATAAACATGTTAAGTTATTTGGTACTATAGGAATTAATATTAAAATAAAAGGTAATGAATTGAACACTGTGACTGCTTGAACAATAATAACTTTATTTTTGAACTTTTGTTTTGAAAAACATACGTTTTAATTAGCATTGTTTATATTATTTTATAAATTTGAATTAATTCATTGATAAAGTACTTATCAATGCACTATCTATCATCCCCACCCCAGTTCATGAAGTGAACTTCTGGTTCTTTGGTATAAAACTTAAAACAGAACTGGATACAAAAAGTAACATGACCTTAAAGCTAAAAGAAAAAAAATACATAAAAATAAGTAGTAGGTCCTTATCTTTTATTTTTATTTTATTTTATTTTTTATTTATTTATTTTTTTTATTGAATATTAATACAGTGTCTGCCACACTGAAGGGCATTGGTACTAGAGCTATAGTATTAGTATTCACACGATATGTACATAAGAAAGGAAAATAAATCTAAATAACCAAAGTAAGAAGAAATATATATATATATATATATATATATATATATATATATATATATATATATATATATATATATATATATATATATATATCTACATTTATTTACTCCAATATATACATATTGACGTATATAAAAGTCGCGGGGCCACAGCCGTTTTAACCTCCGAGGAGGATTGTAAGGATGACTGGAGCTAGATAGAGACTGTGCTAGGATTAGGATGATGAGTGAGATTCTAGTGAAATTTGGAAAAATTGTCTGGGATTAGGTCAAGTACAAATGGGATATTAAGGTCATGATGTAGGGTTATGTTGTTTACATAGAACAGAGCATCGACTATTGTTCGGAGGACTTTCGACTGAAAGGATTGGATGCGTTTGATGTTAGAAAATTTAGCTGTTCCCCAAAGTTCAAGTCCGTAGGTCCAAATAGGTTTCAAGATTGTCTTGTAGATCAGTAATTTGTTTTCAATCGAAATTTAAGATTTTCTAGTCAGTATGACCTCTGTGAAGTTGGCCCCCCATCCTCAACTTTTTTTTTAAAATTTTGAGAGTTCTTATAGCCTCCCTAAAAGTTCTAGAGTTCTCTATACTTTTTAGAAATAGTTCTATTGTTTAAACCGCCGAAAATACCATACAAAATTGTGAAAAACGGAAATCCCGTTTTGTACAACTTACGAGTCTTATAACTCTTTTAATGTTAATTTTAGAGCAAAACTTCAAAGGGATAATTGTAAAAATTCCTTGGGGGGCTATCAAAACTTTAAAAAAAAAAATTAAATATAGGCCCCCCTGAAAAGCGGCCCCCCCAAAATGAAAATTTCTAAATTATTTTTTGGGTTTTAATAGCCCCCCAAATAGTTACAGAGTTCTCTGGTATTTAAAAAAAAAATTCTATTGTTTAAACAACCGAAAACACCACATTTTATTTTTGACGATGCCCAGAAAATAGCATGTTTTGATCTCTGTCCATT